GGGTCATTCATATATGTTCCTTGACTTGTCCCTTCCCTTTCTTTCTGCAATTATCCCCCCCCCCCCCCCCCCCCCCGGTCGATGTCAGTCTCTTCCTTGTTTCCATGCCTCTGGTTCTGGTTTGCTTATTTGTTGTTTTGTTCATTAAATTCCACTTGTAGGTGAGGTCATATGGTATTTGTCTTTCGCTGCATGGCTTATTTCACTTAGCATAATGCTCTCCAGTTCCATCCATGCTGTTGCGAAAGGTAGGAGTTCTTTTTCTCTTTCTGCTGAATAGTATTCCATTGTGTAAATGTACCAGTTTTTTGATACACTCATTTACTGATGGGCACTGAGGTTGTTTCCAGCCCTTGGATATTGTAAATAACACTGCTATGAGCATAGGACTACATTGTTCTTTTGAATTGATGTTCCAGGATTCTTAGGGTTATACCCTAAGGTATTATATACCAGCAGTGGAATCACTGGGTCAAAAGGCAGTTCCATTTTTAATTTTTTGAGGAAATTCCCTACAGTTTTCCACAGTCACTGCACCAGTCTGCATTCCTAGCAACAGTGCACTAGGGTTCTATTTCTCCACAGCCTCATCAGCACTTGTTTATTGAGTTGTTAATGACGGCCTTTCTGACTGGTGTGATGTGAGGTGGTATCTCACCTGTGGTTTTAATTTGCATCTCTCTGATGGCTAGTGACATTGAGCATCCTTTCATATGTCTCTGGGCCCTCTGTATTGTCTGTTCAGGTCCTTTGCCCATTTTTTAATTGGATTGTTTATCTTCTTGGTGTTGAGTCATATGCATTCTTTATACATTTTGGAGATCAAATCCTTGCCCAAGCTATCATTGGCAAAAATGTTATTCAGTATGGTTGGATCTCTTTTCATTTTGCTGATGTTTCCTTAGCCATGAAGAAACTTTTTATTTTGATGAAGTCCCATTTGTTTATTTTTTCTTTATCACCCTTGCCTTAGGATATATATTGGCGAAAATAGTTCAGCATAGTATATCTGAAATTTTCCTATGTTTTCCTCTAGGACTTTTATGGTGTCACAACTTATATTTAAGTCTTTTATCCATCTTGAGTTTATTCTGGTGTATGGTTTAGATTTTATTTTTAGAGATAGGGGAAGGGAGAGAGAAAGGGAGGGAGAGAAACATCAATAGTTTGCCTCTTGCATGCCCCTCAACCTGGGACCTGGCCCACAACCCAGGCATGTGCCCTGATAAGGAATAGAACCAGTGATCTTTCAGTTTGTAGGATGATGCTCAACCCACTGTGCCACACCAGTCAAGGCACCATTACTGCTTTTTTAAAAAAACAAATTTATTTAATTCAGGTAACTTTGGTTAATAACATTATATACATTTCAGGTGTACAATATTATAATTTGATATCTGTATACTTTATTGTATGCTCACTACCACAAGTCTAATTTCAATTTGTTTGACCCCCTTTACCCTTTTCAACCTCTCTTCACTGCCTTCCCCATTCTGTTGTTTGTATCTATGAGTTTTTTGTTTTGTTTTCTTTGTTTGTTACCTTTGTATTCTATCCCACATATGAATGAAATCACATGGGTTTTTTCCTTTTCTGACTTATTTTACTTAGGATGATACCTTCAATATCTATCCATGTTGTCACAAATAGCAATATTGCACCCGATTTATAGCTGAGTAATATTATATATGTAATTTCTTCTTTGTCCATTTATCCATCAATGAACACTTAGCCAATATCTTGGCTATTATAAATAATGGAGCAATAAACAGAGGAGTACATATATCTTTTCAAATTAGTGTTTTCATGTACTTTAAATAAATACCCAGAAAAATAATTGCTAGATCATATGGTAGTCCTATTCTTAATTTTTTTTTGAGAAACCTCCAAAATGTTTTTAACAGTGCTTGCACCGGTTTACACTCCTACTAGCAGTGTATGAGGGTTCCGTTTCTGTACATTCTCAGTTACTATTTCTTATCTTTTTAATAATGACTAATTTAATGTATGAGGTGATATCTCATTGTGGTTTTGATTTGCATTTCCCTGATGACTAATGATGTTGAGCATCTTTTCATGTACTTGTTGGCTATTTGTACATCTTGCAAAAATGTCTATTCAGATACTCTGTCCATTTTTTTAATCAAGTTGTTCGCTTTTTTGTTGAGTTGTATGAGCTCTTTATATAGTTTGGATATTAACCTCTCATTGAAAGTCACATTTGCAAAACTGTTCTCCCATTCAGATGGCTGGCTTTTGGTTTTCTTGACGGTTTCCTTTGCTGTGCAGAAGTTTTTTAGTTTACAGTAGTCCCATTTGTTTTTTTTTTCTTGTTTCCCTTGCATTGTGAATCAAATTAATAAAAAACACCATTGAGACCAAAGTCTAGAAGCTAAGTGCTTGTGTTTTCTTTTATGTATTTTATATTTCTTTTCAGTTCTTACAGCCACATTTTAAACCCATTTTGAGTTAATTTTTGTGCATGGCATAAGATAGTGGTCTAGCCCTGGATGGGTGGCTTAGTTAGCCAAAGTGTTGTCCCATACACAAAAAGGCTGTGGGTTTGAGTCACAGTCAGGGTGCATACCTAGGTTGCAGGTTTGATCCCCAGTCAGGGTGTATACAGGAAGCAACTGACCAATGTTTTTCTCTCACATTGATGTCTCTCTCTCTCTCTCTCTTTCCCACCCTTCCTCTCTCTAAAATCAATAAAAATGTCCTCAGGTGAGAATTTAAAAATAAAACATAGTTGTCTAGTTTTATTCTTTTGTATGTAGCGTTCCAGTTTTTACCCATGCCATTTATTGAGAGACTTTTCTTTCTACATCATATGTTCTTGGTTCCTTTGTCATGAATTAGTTGCCCATATGTCTATCAGTTTATTTCTGGGTTCTCAAATCTGTTCTAGTGGTCTGTGTGCCTGGTTCTCTGCCAATACCATAATGTTTTGATTACTATAGCTTTAGAGTACAGTTTGAAATTGGGGAGTGTGATGTCTCTGGCTTTATTCTTTCTTGTCTTGGAGTTTCTTTGGCTATTCGGGGTCCTTTCTGGTTCCATACAAATTTTAGGAATTTTTCTTCTTCTGTTCTACTTCTGTGAAAAATATCATTGAGATTTTAATGGAGATTGCATTGAACCTGTAAACTCCTTTAGGCATGTCATTACTTCTTAACGGTTTCCTTATTTCTTCTTTTGTCTTCTTTCTCCTTATTGTCAACAGATGGTCACTGGTGCCAATTCAATGCCAACAGGAACCTCCAACTTGGAGTGTGGTGGAAAAAGAAATTTTCTTCAGTGCAAACATCTCAATTGTGATACAGCACAGCTATATACAGTACAGCAGGGCTGGGAAAAAGTTCAACAGTGTTACAGTTCAGTTATGAAGCAAGATGGCTCTGAAACAGCACTGCTGTATATTAGCCCTGGTCCAAGGTGGCCCTGGGGAAAGGCCACCATCTCTGGCTAGACAGCTCTGCTTCTTTGCTCCACTCCATTATGCTCCACTGTGCCCTGCTCTGCCTGCTCTTCTCCTCTCTAGTTCAGCAGGATGTCTCAGCCTGAAACATTATCACTAGTGTTTGGTGGAAATGGAAAGTGGACACTCTGAGACAGGGGGAGAGCTGACTTTTATCAAGAAGTCCCACATCTGGTCTCTGATTGGTCCATTCTCATGCATATGAGGATTCTAAATTCTCATGGTTTGATTGGTCCAAGAAAGCATTGTCCTGACTGGTTAGAATGGAGCAGCTTGGTGGTGATGATGCTAATGGTGATATTGCTGGACACCTTTGATTGGACTGGGAAAGTCTCAGTCCTATTGATTGAAATACGATTCTAGAAGCTACTTTACAAGGGTTGACTCAGATGTCAGGAACACAGTGCAGTCAGGCCAGTTCAGGGAGGCAGCTTAGTGCAGGCTTCTCCCTGAAGCTTGGCTTGTGTGAGTGACCCCTGTTTAAAAACAGGTGTTAGGCTCTGTTTTAAATTTTGGACAAGTTAGCCACCAGGAGGTCCTGCTTACTAAGTACCTGCTTCCTCAGGTTGGACACTACTCATGCTCTCACAGTGGCCAGAATGATTTTATTAAATCAAACTACAAGTTCTCTTTGCTAAGTACTGTCAGAGTAGAAACTGTCTTTACAAGGCGCAGCAAGGCTCTACATCCCTCTCAGTCCATTTCTAACTTCTCTCTGCCCTCATATACCACACTTCCCCACGCTTACTCTTCCCATCACACTGAATATTATTGGGTATCCTCTAGCCTCAGGGCCTCAGTGAGCTGCACGGACAGATATCTACTTGTCTCCTTCCCTCACTTCCTTTTTGGGCTTCTCTTAAAATGTCACCTTCCCGCTGACCTTCCTAGGCCTACCTCCTGCAATCCTTATCCCTGTCTCTTATGTTGCTCCTCCTTAGTATTTGTAATTATCTAACATTTTTGTACCTTTCATTTGTTTTTAAATTGTTTCCCAGCTGTAAATTCTAAAGGGATGTTTTTTTGTTGTCCCTGTTTCCCCTCTCCCTGTGACTGTTGTATTCTCAGTTCCTAGGACAATTTCTAGCATGAGTGGGTGTTTAATAAATATTTATGGATTGTATGAACGATGGGAAGATAGTAACCAGAAGTTTTATGTCTCCTAGTTTCCACAGCTACGAATATGGGGCATTACCACTGCCTAGTCTGCGTCCTCGGGTTGTTTCCAGAAGAGGATGCTAGAGCAAGAACCAAATTCCACAGAAAACACATCGCTTACAGGGTTCAGCGAGGTCAGCTCCAGGCTGACATCCTGAGCCTCATACTATCCAGAAATAACCCACAGGCCGAGGAGGAGAACCGTTGGTCCACATTCGCCCCTCGGCACTCCTCCACACACTGTACACCCAGCACACTTTGGTTCGTCGACCCCGCCCCACCCCGCGCACTTCCGGTCCGGCCCCTAGCGTGGCTCTCGCCCAGCCCGGCCCTTCTCCCGGTGTGGCCCGTAGATCACCGAGGGGAGAGGAGGAGGGGGCGGCGCCTGGTGGCCCCAGGGAGTGCAGGCTCTCGACCTTGCGACACAAAGAGCGTGGGAGCTTTGGGGCCTGCGTAGTGCCTTTCACCCGCGTCCGTGCGACCTGCGCGCGCTGGCGGGGACGGTAGGCCCCCAACTCTAGCTGTCCAGGTGAGCGGGGTCGTACTGGCCTGCAGGGCTGCACGTTCCTCTGGTGCAGAGCCAGGAAGTCAGCAGGTGGGGCAAAAAATTTCTTGTCTGTGCCCGCGACTCTGGGCGGAGCGCGGCGGGGGTGGGGGGTGGAGCGGGCGGTACCTGCGGTACTTCTCCGCCCCCTCCACCCCCTCCACCGCCCCCCCTCGCCCCTCGACCTCGCCTAGTCCAGTGACTGGCCGTTGTGTTGGGTCCGCGTCTTCCCTTTGCTTCTGGTTTTAGGGCTACAGTTTCTGTAAGAGTGACGTGGTATCCCGCCTTTCCCCTCACCCTGGAGGGCTAGGGGTGGGTCACTTTAAAATAACTTATCCTATGGGGGAAGCCCGCCTGCTTGACCAAGCCTTTAATAACCAGGTCCTACAATACAGCCGTTTCTGAAGTGTCCGTACGCTTTTGAGCAGAGTTTGCAGTGTTCCGGCTCCTTTGCTGAAGTGGACTTTCACCTGCTGTGCGATCTGGGATGGGGCGAAGACGGCGGTTTCATTAGGAACGTGGAGGTTAGACGGTTGGGGAGAGCCATGGCTTAGGTGGGCCACTGCGGCCTCTGCTCCCCAGATGTGCGGCTGCCGGTGGCCATGTGCTTTCTTTGCCGACCCCACCGTTGCCCCGTCCCTTCGGGCTGAACCTGGCACCTGCAAAACGCGAGAGCTCCCTTCCTCTGACAGATCGAGTTATTGGAGAGAATCATTTCCTGTAGATAAATAACATTGCATCCCACTATAGAACAACTTTTTAGGATGTACCTGTTTCCTTTTGTTATATTAGGAGTTTGCACTTGGAAAAACTTTGAAATAAGACGCCACCCTCTGGGGCAGAAAAGGCTGTTTGGCAGAATCGCCCCTTTCCCCACCACAAACAAATGCCCTGTAGGAGTCTTTCCAGTCTTTTTGCATGTTTTACTGTCATAAATTGTACCCTGGTGCGTTGTTAGGAGCTCCGTGTGGTCTGTGCGTTTGCACAGGATGGAAGTGAAGAAAGGTCACTTGGTTCCTCTCTGCTTTGGGAGACTTAGGCCAAGCTATGGAACAGGGAGGCAGTGGTGTGTGTGTGAGGGGTGGGGGGAGATGGGAGGGGGACAGGGGGTACACTATGAAGCTGAATGGCTTGGATAAAGTCAAGTGAGGCTCAAGGTCCCACCATCAGCACTGTTAATAGGAAGGAGAGATTATGAGTGACGATGACTTTTTTATAAGAGGCCTTTGCTGTGATTTCCAGGTTTTCCACCTTGGACTTTGAATACTTTTAAAAGAAAAAGATTTAAAGAAATAATGGTAGTTAACACTGGTCTGTTAAACAAAGCACTGACAGCAGCCTTGCAGTTTTAATAGCTTTGTGCAAAAGTATCTGTTTATTAAAAGAGAAATGCTAAGGCAGTTAGAGAAGCAGGCTACCACTGTGGTGCCCCAGCTGTTTGATTTATGCATCATTTAGTGGTTTAAATTACTACAAATTTAACTAGTTTATATTGACAAATCAAATCCTGAGGTATGTGCTTAAATATAGTTCCTATTCAATAAAAATTAGAGGATAATTATTTTTGCAGGATGAGAAAATAACTCTTTCCAAAGACCTTGAACTTCAGATATCATTTAATACCATCAAATTAGAAAGAGAACACTTTATAGAGGAAAAGTTAGGGTTTAAAATTGTTTTGAGTTATATAAACTTTGAAGGAAAACTTTTTCCCCAAATTGTATTCTTCAAAGGTGGTGAACTGATATTTACTAACAGCATTTGTAAATCCCTACTGTTAGTGCATCCTTTGTCCTGAGTCCTTATGAATGTTTGGTGGTGGACAATAGGGTAACAAAAAATCACAAAGTTCTAATCATATTCAAGGTATCCAGATCCTGCCCTTTTATGGCGATTGACTTTAGATGCCAGTTGGTGGATAGTTCTTTTTTATTTTATTTTTTTCTTTGAAGATGAAACATGTAGCATTTCAGGTTTATTTGGGGCGTGTGAAAGGTCCCTCTGACCACATATTTTCTACCTTGGACACATAGGTTTGGGATTTGCCATAAACTGGTGGCCACTAGGTATCTCTTTTTCCTGGGCTCAAGACATGTCTAGAAAAAAGAGACAAAACACAGTGTCCTCGCCTCACTCTTGACTGGAGGGAATGGCGCTGCCCACTGGCCTGGAAGGGCATTTGCAGTGCCCTGGGCACTTTGTTCTCCAATTCCATGGTTATTCTGTAAAGGTTGAGTGGCAGTTGCCCTAACTAGACTCTAGATTTGGGTGTAGTTTAGTCCTTGGTTTGAAGTACAAATTAGGAATTCAGGCTCAAGATCAGAGATTTTGTTAATCACAGCAAGAGGCCAAATCTTTGGGTCACACTACCTAGAGCTACTTGGAGGGTGGTGATAGCAGAAGGTTTTCCTTCCCCATTCTTGGGGTAACCTTGAGCCTCCTGGTAAGAGTTCTACACCAAAGGATTCTGACTGCTGTCTGAACCATGGGACAGAGATGACTTATGGAGTATGTTCTCTTTTTTATCCTCTTGACAAAAGTTGGAGCATGCCATTGGTGCTCCCTGGTTGCACTTCTTTTGGTCTCTCTCAATCTTGGATTGTCCTTCTCTCTAGATGTTAAGAGATAGATAACTTCTAGTTTCTCAGTCTGCTTCATAGTCTGTCTTCAACTGAAATCATTTTTTGGTCAAATAAACAAGCCTTCCAGGTAATTCTGATGCACTGAAATTTGAGAAGCATTAGTATGTGCCAGTTTTTGTGCGTTGACTGTTATTGGGTTGGCCAAAAAGTCCATTTAGTTTTTTTCCATAAAATAAAATACACATTTTTCATTTTCACCAATAACTTTATTGATTTGGATATTTTGAGTGGGTTGGCTTCTGGTGCGTAGAGACCAAGGGTACTGCTAAACACCTTCCAATGCATAATACAGCCCACAGCAAAGAATTTATTTGGTCAAAATGTCAATAGTACCAAGAAACTTTGCAAACAGCTTTTGACATGTTCGATCAAAGTGCCTTCTCCATACACTGCACAAATTTTTTTTTGCATTTCAGTTGTGTTTTTACCTTTATTCAAAATGGAGGATAATATGCCAAAAATGTTGCTTATTTTCTTCTATCTTCAGTATTAAAGTTGCTGCCAAAATTCACCAAATTTGATGTTTTAAAAAATTCACACTGATATAACTGCTGTTACAGTACAATCCACTAAATTGTTTCAAATGAAGTTAAAGACCACTAAGCACTACCAAGCCATCATACTGAAAAAACTAAAAGAACTTCGAGGCCAACCCAAAAATATATTTCATTAGAGGAAACTGACAAATCCTTTCGTGTTATAAGATACACTCTTTTTTTGTTTGCTTATTATTTTATTTTTTAAAACTTTTTTATTGTTATTCAATTACTATTGTCCCCATTTTCCCTCATTGTTCTCCCCTTCCCTACTGACACCCCACCTCCCACAATCCGTGTATACCTCCCACCCCCATTGTTTTTGTCCGTGGGACCTTTATATATGTTTCTTGACTTGACCCTCCCCCTTCCCTCATCATCACTGTCAAGTTTGTTCATTTCCCTGTCTCTGGTTCTATTTTGCTCACTTGTTTGTTTTGTTGATTAGGTTCCACTTATAGGTGAGATCATACGATATCTGTCTTTCACTACTTAGCTTATTTCCCTTAGCATAACACTCTCACGTCCCATACATGCTGTCACAAAAGGCAGGAGTTTCCTCTTTCTTTCTGCTGCTGCTGCGTAGTATTCCATTATATAAATGTACTACAGTTTTATGATCCACTCATTTACTGATGGGTGCTTAGGTTGCTTCCAGCACTTGGTTATTGTAATTGTGCTGCTATGAACAGTGGGGTGCATAGGTTCTTTTGAATTAGTGTTTCAGGATTCTTAGGGTATAATCCTAGCAGTGGAATTGCTGCATCAAAAGGCAGTTCCATATTTAGTATTTTGAGGACATTCCATACTGTTTACCACAGTGGCTGCACCAGTCTGCATTCCCACCAGCTGAGTACTAGAGATTCCTTTTCTCCACAACCTCACTAGCACTTGTTTGTTGATTTGTTTATGATGGCCATTCAGACCAGTGTGAAGTGGTATCTCATTGTAGTTTTAATTTGCATCTCTCAGACAGCAGGTGATGTTAAAAATTGTTTCAAATGTGTATTTGCCCTCTGTATGTCCTCCTGGAGAAGTATCTGATCAAGTCCTTTAGCCATTTTTTAATTGGATTGTTTGTCCTCATGGTGCGGAGTTGTATGAGTTCTTTATATATTTTGGAGATCAAACCCTTGTCCAAGGTATCATTGGCAAATACATTTTCCCATACGTTTGGTTCCCTTTTCATTTTGGTGATATATTCTTTAGCTGTGCAGAAGCTTTTTAATTTTATGTAGTCCCATTTGTTTATTCTTTCCTTTATATCCCTTATCCTAGGGAACATATTGGTGAAAATATTGCTGTGTAGAATATCTGAAATCTTCCTGCCTGTGTTCTCCTCTATGACTTTTATGCTGTCATGACTTATACTTAAGTCTTAATCCATCTTGAGTTTATTTGTGGGTATGGTGTAAGCTGGCGTTTGAGTTTCATTTTATTGCATGTAGTTGTCCAGATTCTCCAACAACATTTGTTGAAGAGGTTATTTTTACCCCATTTTATGTTCCTGCCCCCTTTGTCAAATATTATTAATTAACCATAGAGTCATGGGTTTATTTCTGAACTCTATTCTGTTCCATGATCTATATATCTGTTCTACACCAGTACCAGACTGTATTGATTGAAGTGGCCTTGTAATGTAATTTGATATTAGGTATTGTGATCCCTCCTACTTTGTTCTTCTTTCTTAAAAGAGCAGAGGCTATTCAGGGTTGATTATGGTTACATATAAATTTTTGAAATGTTTGTTCTATATCTGTGAAATATGCCATTTGTATTTTAATAGGGATTGCATTGAATCTATAAA